GAGGGCGCCGGCGAGGCGCGGGCGAGGCGGGGGCGCGGGCGAGGAGAGCCGCCGCCCGCCCCGCCCGCACGCCCGCCCCGCCGGCGCCCCCCGCCCCCCGCCCCCAGGCCGCGGCCGGGAGCCCCGCGGAAGGGGCGGAGGACAAAAGGGAAAGTGGGGCGAGCCGGCCAAGTTGGCGGCGCGAGCGAGGCGAGGCTGTGCGCTCCCGGCGCCGCTCTTGCGCCCGCTGACCTTTCACTTTGTTCCGAAGAGGATGGCTCGGTCTTGAAGGAAAAGTTGGCCGGGCCGGCGCGCTTCTCCCCGGACAATGCTGCCGGCCCCGGTGGCTGTCAGGAGCAGGAATGCACGACTTCGGTTGATTTCCAGGCAAACCGCTCACGCGGGCTTTGCATGTAAAAAGTTCCCATGGTTTTGTTAATGTTCCTGGCCTCCCCTTTGCTCGTCCTCAAGGATAGTTTTTCCCTTGCTTGTAGCAGCAGAGAAAGCAAACTCTTGCGAGATGGGCCACTAGCTTCCCGCAGAAGGGAAAAGCAGGCGGGAGGCGGTGTGCCCGGGGAAGTGCAGAAACAGTGCGCTCTCCGGGCTGACACGAGGGACCAGTTTGGAAAAAAGTGATTATCTAGCAGTTTCTCTGTGAAATTGCTCCATGTGTAGTAACTGCGGGGACTTCTGAAGATCAGAAAGCTAAGGTGTGTGATAAGGCCCTTTTGCAATAACCTGGTGTGTAGACGTAGTATATTTTTATCCAGGTAATGCACAATCTTTTAACATTTCTTTAATTTTCTCTTGCAGTTTTGGGGGGTGTGGATGTAAGTAAACTGGGAAGGTGCAGGGAAGTTCCTGAATTCAACGCAAGGACTGTTTATTAGCACCTTCAACACTCAAGGAGTGTATTAGGTTCAGAAAAACAGAAAAGGTGAATTAGATAACCCCAAGTCACTTGTAGGAGAGAAGATGTGTAGTGATTATGATATCGTTTATTGAGCAACTTCCGGGTCCCGGGCACTGCAAGCCCTTTAGGTAAGTCCTCTCCTTTAGCTTTCTCTGTTCTGTGCAGCAGGTACTGTTATTTTCTATTTAGCAGATGCGGGAAACAAGGCTTGGAAGCGATTGAATGACTTGGCCTAGCCAGTTACAGGATTAGCAGTTGTTTGGTGTCTGGCACATAGTAGGCTTTTAATGAATAATTGATGAACAAATCGTCCCAGATGTCTCTGATTCCACGGGCAGCCTTGAATAGAGGGCTTGACTGAGACAACAGCAATGACAGCTTCTGTTTACTAAGCTCTTACCTGTGTCCAGCCCTGCCTTAGCTGCGTGAATTCACTCATTAAAGCCTGACAGCGATCTCTTGAGGTGGGTACTGTTATATCCCCATTTGCACTGGAGGAAAACAGGCACAGTGTGGCCCCAGGTTACGGAGCTTGTGGTGGAGAAGATGGATGCAGGTGGTCTGCCTCCAGAGACTGTTGAGCTGTGTCTGTGGCTGTCACTTTAAGCTAATGAAAACTCTGGGCTTAGATTCGTGATCCTAAGTGTTTATTATGGAGGTGCACGTTAGGTGAGGGGCCTCCTGGACAGTGGGTAGGCATGAGGTCATCTGTTGCCACTAAATCGGCGAAATGGTTCCTGGGTCAGGGTTTCCCAGTTGCCAGATGATTAAACCAGAAAGTGGACACTTGAAATTTATCTGACTGTATATTTACTTTTTCTTCTTTTCCTTGACCTAGAAAGAGGTCACCACTTTTTCACACTGAAAAGAACTGCTGAGGTGATGAAATGCATCCCCTGTTTTGTGGATTAGTAAGTGGGGGCTCCTGGAGTTTAATGTATGTTCAGGGTCACCTAAGGCTTTTGACCCAGCAAGACGTTACCTTTCAGCAGGAGGGCCTTCCCAGGCAAATTCTGTGCTTTTCTAGCAGGGTGGCTACTACGTGTCTCTTTCTTTAACCTTGTTTTGTGTTTCTTAAAATAATGCATGCACATGCACAGAGTTTAGAAAGTCAAATAGTGGTAAAAGGCAGTAAAGAGGCTGCCACCCTCTCCTGCTTTTCAAGAGAGGGAGCATCCACTCTTAGCCTTTGCCTCACGTTTTAAATAACACGCTTGTGTTGTCATGCTTTCATTCACCAATTTGAGGCGTTATCTGTTGGCTTCCACTAATGGTAGATGACGATTTCAGTTCTCTCATACTCTGTCTCTCATTTAGGTAACTCACAGTTGTGGTTAAATCTATATCAGAATCTTTGTCAGTCTGTTCAGGTCATTTTTGTGCCGTGCTGAGCTGGATGGTAAACCACAATTGGATTTCTTTTCTTGGGCAGACTTTTTTACTTCCCTTGAGTTAGTAATTGCTTTATTTTTCATTGGCCTGATTCCCCTTGAACCTCGGAATAATGTTCCCGCACCTTTCATTCTGTAAAATGTTTCTCAATTTAAGTTTTTACCACTCAGCCCTGTCAGCTCACCAGCCGGTTCCACAGTGCTCCTCAGGCACCCCAGCCCAGGCGGGATGCTTGTTTTCTGGGCCTGTGCACGTTCCCATCCTGGAGATTCTGGCCCCTTCTCTGCCTCTAACGTTCCCCTCTGTGTGTTCATTCACTCATGGTGGTGGAACTCCGTCTCCAGTAGCTTCCCAGTAGTTTGTTGGGAGGCAGACTTCTAGAACTTGCATGTCTGAAAATGTTTTTATTTTGCCACCGCACTTAAAGCATGAGTTTGGCTGGGCTTGGCATTCCAGGTTGCAAGTAATTTGGAAGTTATTGATCCAGTATCTTCTAGTATTTGTTGTTGCTGTTGAAGTCCAGTTTGATTTTTTTTTTTTTTTTTTTTTGGGCCACACCGCGTGGCTTGTGGGATTTTAGTTCCCCAATCAGGAATTGAACCCGGGCCCTCGGCAGTGAGAGTGCGGAGTCCTAACCACTGGACCGCCAGGGAATTCCCCAGTTGGATTCTTAATCCTTCGTAAGCATTATTCCCACATCAAACTTTTAGGATCTTTGCATCCTTGATTTTCCTAATTTTCATGATAGGCCTTAGCTGTAGCCTTTTTTCATTTATCATACAGGGTACTAAGTAGCCCTGAAATCTGGGGATTGATGTCATTTTATTTATAGGGAGGTTTTGTATTATGTATTTGAGATAGTTTGTTCTTTGTTATTTTCTTTGTGTTCTCTTTTTCCAATTCCTTCATTTGTTTTTTGTTTTGAATAAACTTATTTTATTTATTTATTTTTTGGCTGTGTTGGGTCTTCATTGCTGTGCGCGGGCTTTCTCTAATTGAGGTGAGCGGGGGCTACTCTTCATTGCGGTGCGTGGGCTTCTCATTGGGGTGGCTTCTCTTGTTGCAGAGCACAGGCTCTAGGCGCACGGGCTTCAGTAGTTGTGGCTTGCGGGCTGTAGAGTGCAGGCTCAGTAGTTGTGGTGCACGGACTTAGTTGCTCTGTGGCATGTGGGATCTTCCTGGAACAGGACTTGAACCCGTGTCCCCTGCATTGGCAGGCGGATTCTTAACCACTGAGCCACCAGGGAAGCCCCCCAATTCCTTTATTTGAATGTTGGACTTCCTGTACTGAATATTCTAATTTTTAAAAATCTTTCCTCCTCGTCATGGCTTGATCTTTTTGTTCTACTTTTTGGGAGTGTGTTTGACAATTTTCCAATTTGTTACTGAATTTTTAACTTCTTTCATATTTTCATGTTCTTTACTGTTCTTTGTTCCTTTTTTTTTTTTTTTTCCTGCGGTACTCTCACTGTTGTGGCCTCTCCTCTCGCGGAGCACAGGCTCCGGACGCGCAGGCTCAGCGGCCATGTCTCACGGGCCCAGCCGCTCCGCGGCATGTGGGATCTTCCCGGACCGGGGCACGAACCCGCGTCTCCTGCAACGGCAGGCGGACTCTCAACCACTGCGCCACCAGGGAAGCCCTCTTTGTTCTTTTTTTTTTGTTGTTGTTCCTTTTTTAATGCCTCCTTTTCTTGTTTTATGTATACAGTATCTTTGCTTATCTCTTAATTTCAGTTAAAATTTTAAAATTACAGTTAAATTTTTTAAAAATTAAAAAAATAAAATTAAATTTTGTTTCCCTCACTTTTTCTGTTCCCTATGCATTCCTCTTTTCTGTTGTATCTTTTGGTCTCTTTCATTCGTGCTGGAAACCCTTCTTCCAATGTCTGGTGATCCTTGGCTGTTTATTCATCTTTATGAATAAAGTACTAAAAATGGGAAGCTGAGTGTATTGGGGGACTTGTTGTTGCTTTCACTGGAGGGTCATGACTAATGTTTTTTTTTTTTTTTTTTTTTAGTGGCTCCCCTCCAAATGTTACTGTCCTCTGGTTCGGTTTCCTTGGAAAGGGAGCCTTCAGTCTCTGCCTTGTGGGATGGATGTTGGAGCTAGGTTAAAGGGCAGGGGGAAGGAGAGGGTCTTCCCAGGGTTCACTGGGTAGCCTTTGCCTAATTCCCTTGCTTTCAGTGAGGTGCCTACTCCCGTCTTTCTTTGTGCTGCTCTCCCCAGGTGTGGTATATTCTGGTGGCTTGTGGCTATAGAATAGTGCTTGTCTGAGTGTGCAGGAGGGGCCCGGGGACCTGAGGGTCCAACATTCCTTACTTGGAGTTTTACACCACATCCCTTTTCAGCTTCAGGCATCACCTCTGGCTTTAGAGACTTTCCATGGTTCTGTGGGGCCAGTCAGCCTGGTCCTCAGCAGTGACTACCTTGTTAGGTTTCCCCTTCCTCTGCTCTGTGGAGTGATCGAGGTTTCCTCCAGCCTCCGTCTTCCTATTCATGTTTTGTGTAGGGGTTTGAAATGTTTCCTAGGTGGAGTGCCTGTTTCTCTTTCCTGTTCTTGTCTTTTGTTGATCTTTTGATAAGAGAGGGGAGTGGAAAGTCTTTTCTGCATCCAGAAATCAGAAGCATTTCCTATAAATCTTGAGAAGCAGATTTTCACCCACACTAAAAGCACAGCTATCCTGTGGAAAGGGCTGCCCATCTCAGATCTTACTATGTAGTATGTGGTTCTGGATCATAACCAGGGAAGGTTCTGGAGTCATAACAGAGGTTAGCAAGGGCAGTAAACGTACCTCAGCCCTGATGCCCAAAAGGACATCTGTGGGTAGCTTAGTTGTTGGAGATCCCACACGTGGTCCGTGCCGCAATGGGGACTAGAGCCCCCGCGTACTGCCATATCACAAAACGGTTTTGTATGTTTGACCACATTTTACTGAGTTTGTCTTTGAAGATAATTTAGCTTATGGGAACCATATTTTGGGCTCTTCCCTTTAGGAACTTTATGTTATTTGCTATTTCATGGGACTTAGCATGTTTGACGGATGCCGTTATCTTACGGTAGGTGGGCAGTTTGGTTTCAGTTTACATTGCTTGCTCAGCAAATCACACAGGGAATGGTGATTGGAGACCAGTTATTTTGGCCTACCGCAGGGTGGTACAAAGGGCGTGAGTTCCAGAGTTGAGAAGTTCTCCCACTTACTGTCCCACTTTTATTTAACTTCTAGTATTTTCATTTATTAAAACAAAACAAAAACGTCTTCAGTGGTTTTGGATTTTAAAACACAAAAGATGAAGTGGTTCTTTTTTTTAAAAAAAGTATTTATTTATTTATTTGGCCGCGCCGGGTCTCAGTTGTAGCACGTGGGATCTTCGTTGCAGCATGTGGGCTCTTTTAGTTGCGGCATACGGGATCTAGTTCCCCGAGTAGGGATTGAACCCGGGCCCCCTGCATCAGGAGCGTGGAGTCTTAACCAGTGGACCACCAGGGAAGTCCCTGAAGTGGTTCCTTTAACTCTTCAAAGGTGGCATTTCCTTTGAAGTGGTGTCTTCCCAGATAAGAAGTCAGAAGTCACTTTCCCCGTAACGTCACTGTCAGTTGATATTTTACTTTGGAAAAGTTTTTGGACTGCTTTCTGCATCCCACTTTTAATAGGTTTGTAAGTTCTGATCAGGGTATATTTAAAATGCTCTTTCCAAGCGGTCTATAAGCGCTGTTGAGCCCCTTCTCTTTATGAGGTGCTATTCTAGATACTGTGTAAGAGGATATGCAAGTTTATGAGATTGGTCTCTGATTTCACAAAATTTAAAGAGTGTGATAGAGCAAATATTACCAAGCGGGAACTGAGATGGAATCAGTTCAAAGTAAACAAGAAAAGGCCCGTGCTGTTGCGCTAATTGCTGCAGGCAGACTTGTGTTGGGAAAGGCCGCTTGAGGAAAATAAGTTAGTCCAGGTCCTAAAGGAGATAAGACGTGAAATGGAAGTGCAGGGTACAGTTGTACCTTTCAAAAAGAAATCAGGCATTTTAGAAAATTCAGAAAATTGAAACCTAGAAAGCTAAGAATGCCAAATATTTGTCACCTGTTTGTGTCTGATCTGGGTGTGCACGTTCGCACTTAAAATCGGCTGCAATCAGTGAGTGCGTGCTGTCTGCGCTCTTCTTTCACGGATCATCTCACGTGCTTCTGTGTCTTTTAACATTTTCGGTAGCCACGTGCTGTTTGTTTTATAGATGCCCCAGCTTCCTCGGTTATGGGTTGTGACACTGAAGCCTTTGGTACACGGTGGAATTATGGGTCAGAAGGGACACGAGCTGAAGCTGGACAGGTGGGGTTGGGTCATTGAGGGCCTTGTCGCTGTGGTAACAAGTTGATGGTCTCCCGAGCAGTATAGACAGTCAGCAAGGGATTATTTTAGGGATTCACATTTTAAAAAGATGATGGAAGCAGGGAGACCACTGAGTAGGCTTGGGCCCTGTGGTGGATTGAGTCAAGGCATATGTGTTTAAATTTATCTTGAG